AGAGAGGTGGGATAAGGGGGGAGAGGGAGGGGGGAGGGAGGGGAGAGGGAGGGGGGGGGAGGGGAGAGGAGGGGGAGAGGGAGGGGAGAGGGGGGAAGGGGGAAAGGGGAAGAGGGGCTCTTGAATGAGAGACGCAGCCACGCGGTCTACAGAGTGCGGTCTACAATCCTTCGAAACATTCCTTAAGGCCACCGCGCATCCTGCCGTACAATGTCGTACCACAAGTGGTCTATGACGTACGGGGATCAAGGCGGTCTACCGCAGTCTACCCTAGGTAGGCAAGTGGGTAGTTAGGTAGTTAGGTAGTTAGGTAGATTTCACCGCACCCGGGGCTCCCGCCACCAGCACGCCCCCACAGCGCGGGAGCCCGGTACGGGCGACGGCGGCAGTGACACCCTGGTCCAGCAGGGGGAGCAGTCGCCGCAGGCATTGCTCCAGCTGCTCGCCCAGCCAGCTGATATGATCCAGATCCAAACATAGCTGCTTCAGATCCAGGGCCGTCGCTGATGTAACAGTCTTGAAATTGGATTTGGATTCAGATCCGGATTTGGGTTCTGCAGGTAGGACTGCCGGCGACAGCGATGATGGAAACTCCGACAGCACTGGATCCAGTGCTGGTACTAGCGCCGGAGGTTCGTTTCCGGCGTCACATGTTTCCGTCGCTGCTGTCGTACAAGTCCCGCCGGAGGTGGCGAGAGGCAGTAGCGGAGCGGCGGCGGGCTGTGGTGAGTCCGCTGGCCGCAGCGGTGGCGGCAGCGGCCGTTGAGCTAGCGTTGCCGCGTGACGTGAGGAATCGTACGACACGTCTGGTAGTACGATAGGCTGGCCGAGCTTGGTTGCGAGGGGTTGCTGCTGCTGTTGCTGGTTGGCCCGGGTACCGAGATGTGGCCCTGGCGGCGCCGGCGTCGCCGCCACCGCCGTCGCCGCTACTGCCGTTGAAGAAGGCGATGGCGACGGCGAGGGACTGGGTTGAGGGTACGACAGCAGTGCGGCAATGGTGCGCTCCGAAATTAAGGGCAGCGTCGGTTGGACTGGCGGCGCATGGTGCGCGCCTGCTGCCGTACTGATGGTGTGCGTCCGTCGTTGGGCGTGTACGATAAGGCAATAGTCGCCCGGGGCTGCCGATGTTAGAGAAGAACCGCCGCCGCCGCCGCCGCCCGCGCCGCAGCTAAGGTTCGTACCGTGCGCTGCATCTACGTCGTGTAGGTGAAAATGTACAACAGTGCCAGACGCTATCGGCAGCAGCAATTTAAAATCCTCCGTACTGGTGCCGCAGCCGTCGGCGACGCCGTCGCTGCCGCCGGAGCTGGCGGCCGTGGTGGTGCTTGTGGCAGCGGCGGAGGCGGCGGCGGCGGTCTCGCTGTAGAGAGGTGACGCCCGTCGCCATCCCAAGACGGCGCGGCGTATGCCGTCCGCCTGCGCCGCCAGCCACCGGTGTACGGCATGCGATATCGCCAAAGTGGAGGCATCGGCGGATGCCGCCGCCGCTGGCACCTCAATCCTTCCCCCCGCTGCTAGCACTGCTTGCTGGTGCTGTACGCCGTCTACCACTGCGACGGGTGGCGCTGCCGCCGCCGCCGCTGCCGCCGCTGCCGCTGCCGTCGAGCCGTAGCTAGGCTGGCTTCCTTGGAGCGTAGCCCCCACCTGGCCGCCGCCGCCGCCAACCCGCCTTTTTGCCGATGTACCGGCCGTTACTGCAGTCCTCTTAGCAGGAACTGGCAGCGGGTGTAGCGTCAAGCTGGGTAGGACTGGGGCCATCTCCGCCGCCGCCGTCGCGGCGGCGGCCGCCGCCGTCACCACGGCCGGCAGCGCCGTCACCGTGACGCGCATGTGGGGCAGCACGCACAGCACGTGCTGCAGCGGCGGCGCCAGCATTACATGCCCTGGCGGACAGGCCGGCTCCGGAACCAACACCCCCAGGAGATCTCGTACCGTACCGCGTCCGTGCAACCGTACTACCACACCACCGACGGATTCTTCTTCCGCCGTGGATGATGCGCCGCCGCCGGCTAGCTTCACCGCGGTCGCCGGCGCCACCGCGACTGCCAAGGTAAGCCATGTGCTGACGGCCGGCGCCGGCGCCGGCAGCGACGCGGCGGCCGCGGCGGACGGCTGTCGTACCGCCGTAGCTTCCCCCTCTGACGCCGCTACCGCGGGGCTCCTTGACGGCTGTAGCATCTGTTGTGGCTGTGGCTGTAGTGACGGAAGCGCCACCAAATACTTGTCTGTCGGAAGGTCCAGCACTCGGAGCCGCAGCGGCAGGGAGGTACGAGCGTGGCGATGATAACAGGCGCGTGAGTGGTGAGGGTGGTGAGGGTGATGCTGATCTACAGGGCCGGGTGTCGCCTGAGGGCGGTGAGGTCGTGTTTGGAGATCCGTGTGGAGGAACGGTTGTGTTGGCGGCGGCGGCTGACTCAGCGATCGTGGTACTGACGACAGCGGTGGCGGCGGCTCCGCCGCCGCCGCATTAGCTGACGGCGCCGCCAACAAGTCGGCGGCGTCCGTGGACGGCACCGGTGCCGACGCAATGTGCCTCACCGCCGCTGCTTCCCGCTGTGTCACCGCCGCCGTCGGCTGCGGTTCCGGAGCCGCCACGGAGCCAGCGGCGGCGGCGGTGGCAGCAGCGGCGGCGGCGGCAGGCGACGCGAATGGCGTCAACGCCTGTCCTTGGGCTGTATCAGGCTGTAGTGAATTTGAGCCGCCGGGCGGCTGCGTGGATCCAGCGGCACCGCCGCCGCCGCGGCCAGCAGTTGTAGGCCCGCCGTACGCGGAAGGCATGACGTGCGCCGGCGACGGCGGAGGCGGTCCGCTTGCGCCCATACCTTTCCGCGAAACGGCGTTCCATGCGGCCTTCCGAAGCCCCACAGATACGCTCCCGCCGTCAGCCGCCGCCGCCGCCGCACTGATAGCCTCCGCAGCGGAGCTATCCAAAACATGTTCCGGAGCGAAACGGCCGTACGACGGCCCCATGACTCCGCTAGCCCAAGCCGGTGGCGCCTGCAAACCAACGCCACCGATGCCAGCAGCCGCCGCCGCCGCCACCGCCGCCACCGAAGCGGCCGTTGCCGTACCAACCCGCTGGGGCGACGGCAATCCGTGCCATGGGCCGGCGCCGCCACCGCCGCCAGGTGTGTAATACGGCGGGGGAGATGCATGCGTCACGTTGCTGTTGTTGCTGCTGCTGCTACTACTGTTCCTTCCGTTGCTACTGCCAGCGCCGTCGTTGCCCGGGTAACCGTTGCCATTACCGTTAGCCAGGGCGTTGATAGATGGCCCATTTTTCAACGACTGACTCCTGTGGTCATGGTGGTGGTGCTGCTGTTGCTGTGTTTGTTGATGTTGGTGGCGATGATGATGTTGGTGGCGTTGTTGATGGTGGTGCTGTTGCTGCTGCTGCTGCTGCCGGTGCTGTTGCCAAGGGTGCTGCTGCCACGGCGCTGCACCGCCTCCGCCAATGCTACTGCCGCTCGGACCAGTTGTCGGACCCTCCACGCCTCGAGCCGTCGCCAGCGGCACGATGGTTGTCGTACCAATCGCCCCAGCCGACGGCGCCGCCGCCTGCTGCTGCTGCTGCTGCTGCCGCCCCTGCGCCTGCCTCGGGCGATCAAGTTCCCGGAACCCCTCCTGTTCCCGGCCGCCAAAGGGCAGCAGCGCTCGTGGTTTCGGAGCCACGTGCACCTCAGCGCCCGGAACCAGCCGTACGAGGTCGGCGGGCTGGGTGGACAGCACATGCAGCCGTACGGCAGCACCCCCACGTGCCCAAACCGTCACGTGCTGGCCCCGGGCCAGCACGCCTGCCTGCGACCCACGGGTCGGAGGGGTCCCGGAGGAGACATGTATTGCTCCAAAGCGCAGGGGAAGCAGTCGTGGCGCGAGGGTTGTGGGAGCTCAGTGCGGAAGCGAGGGAAAACACAGCCATCAAGACGTCTCCCTTGCCCGCCTTCTTTTCCCTTCCTTCCCCACCACACTTCCGGGGGCTCCGGAGTCTTCTAAACCACAGCTCCCCGCCTCCTTTCAAAACCTTCCAACCGTCTTCCCTCCACTCCCCTCCTCTTCCCAACCCTCTCCCTCCCATCTCCCTCCCTTTCCCCCCTCCTTCTCCCCTCCTCCTCTCTTAGTGCGTTTTCGCACACCTGGCCCAGCAGCTGTTCCTCCAGGAAGTCCGCATTGGCCTCCACCACCTCCCAGTCGCTCTCACCCACAGGCTCCACCTCCACAGAGACAGCCGCAGGAACCTCCAGAAGGGGGGCCACCTGAACCCGGGTGCCGGCACGCAGGCCCAGGGCAGAGGCGAGGGCGGAGGGCACGCCCAGCGCGCTGCCGCTGCCTGAGGAGGCGGAGGCTGCTCCGGGACCGCCGTGGAGCACGCCGCCGGTCCAGGCAACGTGGTGTGTATGGTGGGGCTGTTTGGATGGGAAGCCTGTGGGCGGTCGGCGGTAAGGAAAGAGGTGATGAGGATTGGGGGGTGGGGGGGAGGGAGGTGGTCTGGAGTCAGCTGGTCAGCAGGTTGGTCCCATCGCCGTAATTTGAGGTAGACTGGTTATAATTTACGAAGAAGATTCCATGCATGGCCAAAGCGCGGAGAAGGGTGTAGAGCAGTGAGCCAAAGCAGGATGAGATGGAAGGCGTCCCGGCGGTATTACAACCGTATGCCGTACCTGCACCGTCTAGAACGCGGATTTGCAGGACCACCGGTAATACATTGAGGTCGAACAACTGGTTGGCAAGCGGCTTGGATACGCTGACCCAGTTGGAACGCTCCGAAATTATGGTGATGGTCAAGCGCGCCATCCTGTGATAGACTCATATGAGTAGAACGATTTGTAATATTTGTAAAAAGGTGTTAGAAACTCCTTGAGGTGTGAAGCGGGTTTGCATACGCTAGCGTCAACAGCTGGGCAGGATTTGCTCGTCAAAAAGTTTATGGCTATCCAAGGATAACAATGTTTCGAATTATCAATAATCTTCTTACCTGGAGGAGTTGCTGCTTCGAGAGAGGCTTTCGATAAACTCCATCCTGAGCAAAGTTTATCGGTGCTTGAGTTTTGTCAGCGTCTTTGAGATTGTGGCATATTCATTTCAGCCTACAAGGATGACGACTGCGTAATAGCATTTTTCGCGAGTATGGGCTAAGTTGCCTGATGCAACGCCAGCAAACGGTCGGTGTCGGAGCCGACTACCGCATCAGCAATTACAACCCTCGCAAAAGTTTAATTCAAATACGAATCATATTATTCTACATCGCTAATTGCTTTAACTCGTTTCGCTTTGTCGCAGTGCAAGTCACGTGGGGGGAAAGGTTGAGCCGTGCACGCCTAGGACAAAAACATGAGCTTTCCACGCGCGGGTGTGCCGAGGGCTCCACCAAATCATACACTTTTTATTAGAGACATCTCGTATCTTGCGACGCAAAATGACGCCCTGGGCGAAATCACCCAAGCCGGCATTTTCATTCGCGGCAACGTGATCGAATGGGTTGGAAAGATGTCCGACCTTCCTCCAGAGCTTGCCGAAAGCGCGGATAATGTCATCGACGGCAAAGGCCATGTATTCCTTCCCGGTAAGCAAACCAGTCTTGCTTCCGCCGTCTCCTCCCCAGTCCCCTGCCACGACAAGCCCAAAGCCTTGAGACACACACACTGCCTGCTCACACAGCCCCTGCCTCCCTTGCCATGCACGCGTCCTCATACCCCTAAGTTGGTTTCGGAGGCTTGCCCCTTTTTTCTGTATGGGCCCGACGTCTTTAAATCCATTGCAGTTCATGTCCTCAGCCCCCCAACAACAAACCCCCCTCATCTCCACGCCATGCCTACCTCCTAACCCTGGCAAGGTCTGGTCAACACCCATGCCCACATGTTCCAAGCGCTCAACCGTTGTATGGCGCAGGTGAGTGGGTACGTGCGTATGTACGTGCGTACGTCGGTAAGGGAGGCAGGAAGGTAGGGGGCCGAAAACGAACATCAGGATGTGCGACGTAGTGGGGAGAGGGATTGGGGGTTTGAAAAGGCGATCAGACGAGAGAGCTGGCGGGAGAGAGGTGGGGGTCCTCGGGTAGGATGCGGCTTCCAAAGAGGTGCGAGGTGGGAGGGCACCTAAACCCGTCCCTTTCCCCAGCTCCAGCCCCCCGGCCCAACCCCACACACGCACAGCCTCCTGCGCAACGCGACGACGGTGCGTCGGACAAAAGCTGCAATACACGCGGCGTTTATGAATACAATTTATTTTGGTGGAGCTGTTCAGTATCCAAACGTACTGGCCTTCCCAGGGCTGAACTCCTGAACCCCAACCTACCAACCAACCTAATAAACAACCTACCAACCAACCACAACCAACCACAACCTCCACTACCCATGTCTGATTGCAAACTGCCATTCCCGCGCTCTCCGTCTCCCCCACCAAACGTCCCCCCACCCCAACTACCACCCCCGCACATACATACATACATACATACATACATACATACACACACACCCTAGGACCAGCAGCTTCACGGTTGGCTCAAGACGCTGTACCCGGTGTGGGCTCAACACACGGTAGGTGGGGGGCGGGGTGGGGTGGGGGTGGGGGGTGGGGTGGGGGGTGGGGGGCTTGGCAGCTGTTACTTGGCAGCTGTTACTGCTGGCAGCACACACGT